ATATTATTTGTGCTTGTTTGGAACAGCACGGTTGCTCGCTGGAATTGGAGCTTGACTGCGCTGTGGTTTGGGATTCATGTGCAGCAGGGAGTGATACCGTTGTTGGCAATGTGTACATGACCACTTGCTCGGGCACTCATTAGCGCTATGGGTATTACCAAGGCAGTTTTTGCACAGCTTGGCTTGGTTTGCGAATTGTACTCGGTTTGGTACCGAAATTCGCTTAAATTGTTGGTAGACTTGAATAGGATGAGGGGACTTGCAGTAAGAGCAAGTTGCTTTCCTCTTAGGTTCTACCACAAAGGTTTGAGTCCTGCTAAAGGACCTGTTTTGCGCAGAATTTTGATGAGCGACTGGTTTTTGTTTATTTTGGCTTGGATGAAGCCGGTTCAGTCTTTCGACTACTTCGTATCTTGAAGTAAGAAAATCGTTCATTTGTGACCATGAGGGTAAATCTCTTCGAGAAGAGAGAGATTGTTCCCAAAGTGACAGTGTGGTTTCGGGCAATTTGGATGAGCATATGTACACCAATATGGGATCCCAACTTTCTGTCTGGACGTCTTGGGAATTAAGAACTGACAGACAGTTGTTGATTGATGTTTGCAGCCTTCGAAGTTGCTCGCTATTCTCGGAATGAATAGTCGGCAAAGTCATTAAAATTTTAATTTGGTTGTCAACCAAGATACGTTTGTTTTCGTATCGTGACCCTAAAGCTTCCCAGGCCAGCTCGAAGTTATCATCGCTGAGCGGGTATTGCTTGACGATGGAGCCGGCTTTTCCTTGGGTTTTGTATCTGAGGTGATACAATTTTTGAACACGGGAGAGCTTCGGGTGGTTGATGTACACCGCTGTGAACATGTCACGAAAGGCGGGCCATTCTTCGTAACCGCCGTAAAATGTCTCCGTGTCACAAGGTGGGACTTGTAGAAAAACGTTTGCCTCTGCCGAGGTGTGTTCCACGCGGGGTGGCGATTGCTCTAATCAATGACAGCTGATCGGCAATTTAGCTTTGGTCACCTCATATAATTCAAGGCAAGTGAAGTACTTGCCTTCTACTGAATTCTTAAAGTTTTCGGGTAGGCTGTCATCTGGCTTTGAAAATACCAAGTCGTAAGCGGACTGAAGCCGTGCCCAACAATCATCTAGTGATTTGTCTTTTATCATGAGATACGATTCAGTGTCGTCTTGGATTGGCGCATCACTGAATTTTGCACAATATCTCATGGTACTGTCACTTTCCGCTATAAACTTTTGAGAGGATGGGTCAAAAGTTTTAGATTTCGGGCACGTTGAGGGTTCCCTCTTACCGCCGGTGGCTTCTTGTGAAGCACCTTTTGACTTTGTTTCCATTTCAGAAACTTTTGGTGGACTGTGTCCAAGTGGCATTTTGAATGTCGTGCAAGGTCGGACGAATATAAATTAATAGAAGATTTAATTATAAATCGCTGAGTACCAGCCAGATATCGTTCGCAAAAAATAAGTAAATTTGTGTCAAACGGAAAAATTACACTTTGTGCCACAGAAAATCAAGAAAAAAATTATAAGATCTTGTGGCGGTGTTTGTGTTTTTGTTTCTTGCAAATTACGTGAAGTTGTATTTGCTTTAATCTTTGTTTCAGCACTTTTTAACGTTGAAAACGGAGCGTCCCAATTAAATCCGCGGAATATGGATTTGAAAAAAAAAAAGTTTTGTAAGAGAAACAAAATCACAAACACTTTTCACTGTTATATACGTGGTGAAATATACGTATGTATAAATATTTAATGTAAATAATATATAAACACTGAAGAAGTATTGGTTATATATCGCTATCTATACAAGTGGAATAAGGGGGTTTTCCCTACTGGGTTGCATGTATCTAACTATCTTAGGGCCGGTTGCTCAAAGCCTGGTTGACACTGATCCCCGATGAAACATGGTTATCGACGTTACCGACACCGTGTTATGTATATGGAGTCGAAAACGTCGATAACGCTGTTAACCGGTGATTAGTGTCAAACAGGCTTTGAGCAACCGGCCCTTAAACTCACTTCGTATCGCGATATAATATGCGTTGGATAATATTTTTTGCTAGCACGTATGTACAAATGTGCAGAATGTGTAGAATGTAAAAATGTACGTACGTATGTATGTACAAATATTTACGTCTGTAACCGAGTATATGGCTACGCTATGCTTTGTTACAGCAGTGGTGAGTTAAGAAGTACGAAAAAACAGAAAGTTTGCTTTGATTACAGTGCGTATGTATGTATGTGTGCGGGAATGCACAAGTGGATATGATAGTACGTAAAGAGCCGCTCACCGCTGAGGTGAGTTCTTGGTACCGAACGTATTCAAGTCGGTGAGCGGGCTTCGACTTACGTTCTCTTAGCTTGGTGAGTGCCGCAGAGAAAAGCGAGGTGGAAATATATGAAAATAAGCTGAGTGCGTTTGGTATATGTGGACTGTATTGCCCGATGAACAACAGCGACTCTCTTAACTATTAAGCGAATAGTTGCAGAAAATGCAACTTGTAAAAATGCGTATATGTGCTACCGAATGTACATATGGTTTATGTGGAAAAAATGCACTTATGTTTTCGGCACTTTGTTAAGCCAAGTTCAACGAACTATGCGACCAACGGCAAAAATTGGTAAGCAGAGGAAAGCCTATGATTTTAATGTGCTAATATTTTGTTCTTCCACAGTGGGACACAGTAGGCATATAAACTGCAACGAAATTTATTTTGGGGTATATAATAAATTTTGCATATAAGTACATATACCTATATATATATAAGATTGGCGGTAAGTGGAGATATACCGCTTTCCGGAAAACGGAATTTTTCTACCAAAATTTTAATAGCGGCGAATTGCCGTTGTGGAATTTTGTGCGGCAGGAAAATATCCGCAATTTTAATAGAACCGTTTTTGGCGAGAAAAAATACGCCTTTTATTTAATTATATATATATATGTATGTATATACGTATGTATGCCCGTTGGCAGTTTATTAGAAATAATATAACTTTTAAGAATATGAAAGTTATATTATTTCAATTTTCAAGGAAATTAAAAATTTGCCTACTTACTACTTTCCTTGATTTATGTGTATGTGTATGTAGGCTTCTTTGCTTTGCCTGTTGTTACGGCTGATGCTATTGTTGGCTGCTGATGCTGCTGCTGATAATTAATTGTAGTGTTGTTGATGGCTGCTTGGCTTAAAACTTACCTCGGTTTTTTGGTTCATATGATGATTATTGCTTTTGAAAAATGTGTTTTTTTTCCAAATCTTTAATTTTCAGTTTTTTTTTGCTTATGTGTATCTTTATGTTTTGTTATTTAAAATTCACAAAATTTATAATTTGTTTTTTGTTATTTTTTTTGTTTTCACTCTGTGTTAGCGATATGTACATTTGTGGTCAGCACAAGGGTAAGTACGTGTATTTCACTAGCATATATGTACATGTGTAGCTCTCTATGTATGAAAACTTGAAAAAACTTTTGTTTTTTGAACACTTCGAGATACTTGTCTTTTGTGTTTAGTAAATATTTTTTATATAAGTTTTTTGCGGACGTACGGTTGTTTTCGAGTTTTTTCTTAATTTTTAATTTTTATTTTTTTGGAGCTAGGCTTTCGCGCTCAACTTAGTTTACACACACTGATTTCCGTTTAAAGGAAAGACTTCTGTTTCGCTTTTAAAAGTGTACAAAATTTAAACTTAGTTTATTTTTTGTTTATGTAAGTTAGTCAATTAATTTGGCAAATAGATTAAAACCCGTGTTGACACCGATGATTAGCTTCGACAAGGGCGCGTGCGCGTTAGCTGAACTGCCTTCTGCTCATTTTTTACGACGATGGGGAGGCGGCCGTGCGCGCTCGGTAATTATATTTTCGGAGTTGACGTCGGTCAATTGCCAAACTGCTGGATTGCGCGCACGGCCGTCGTATTGCGTTTTAAGCGGCGGCTTAAATATTCTTCCGCCCTGCAGAAATGCGCTGCTCAGGGTCTTCTGCAGCTCTTTTAGCGCGCGGATGGTGTTGTCCAGGACGCGGTTAGTGGTACGGTCCTGGTAGCTGGCCGTTTGCAGGCCTTGGGGGGTGCGCGCGATCGTCCTTTGGGCGGTCTTTTTGCGCAATGGTTGCGGCGCTTGCCTTCCGCGGTTTTGCGCATTCTTCTGCGCCTTCTGCTGTGCGGTCTTCAGAGCTGTCCTCTTCGGCGGTGCGCGCCGCTTGTTGCTCCTTGGGGCCTTTGTGGCCGGTTTTCATTGCTTGGGCCCTTGTTCCCTTGGCCCCTTGCGCGCATGGGTGTTGGCTGCCACATGCAGCAGCGTGTGGTGCGCTAGCCCGCTGGTCTTGCAACTGCCTGGTGAGTCGCATTCCCCGGTGGTGTGAGCGCGAGGAAGTTGACGCAGTAGCCCTGCGCGCGGGCCACTCCCAACCGTTGTGGCGGCTTCATTGCTTTGAAGGCCGGGCACGTCCTCAAGGCGTGGTACCGGTGGCAGAGCCGGCATTGTAGGCAGTTATCCGTCTCTGCCGTTGGAGCCAGGGGGCATGCCTTCCGCGATGCCATGATGTCTTCAATCTGGAAGTAGAAGCACAGGCAGAGAAACGAGGAGTACTTGGGTATAATATTTAAGCGGGAAGTTAAGACCCTTAATATACAAAAGGAAAAGATGTATAGAATTATTTATTGTGCTTTTGGAAGGAAGCACGGTTTGACAAGTGGTCGCGTGATACCTCCATTTTGCGTACGGATTTCTACGACACGTATGTGGTTATCAGGGCCCTGGCGAACGTTTTCGATTCGTCCCAATCGCCATTCGGTGGGGGGGAGCGAATCTTCTTTGATCACGACGAGGTCGCCTGGCTGAGGATCGCGTTTTGGGGTTTTCCACTTGTATCTCTTCTGAAGATCTTTGAGGTAATCTTCTTTCCAGCGGCGACTAAATTGGTGGTGAAGTGCTTTGGCCAACGATAGCCATAAGCACGACAGAAAACTGTGAAGATAACACCAGTAGTTCGATCCAGTTTTTTTGGGACACTTAATAGTCACGTGCTTACCGTCCATGCTACCTATGCAATTTGGAGATTGCCACAAATCTTGAAATCCTTGAGCTGATTTTTCCCAAAATTTCCATTGTTGGTTCCGGCAAATAAAATCTTTCAATTTTTTTTTACATCGCCTCAAATACTTCGTTAACAATCAAGCTGACTGTTCTAAATCCTACACGAAAGCTATTACCAATTGTGATAAATGAATCGCCAGTTGCGAAATATCTAGAAATAATACATTAATGGAGTGAGAGTAGGGAATACCATACACCATATTTAAAAAAAATTACCTTAAGGCAATGCAAGTTGTTCTTCGGGTCCAATGCACTCTCGAAATTGTGTGTCTGCTTTTTGAATCTCATTTTTAATAATACTCAGTACTTCATCAAAGCACTCAATAGTCATTCGGAAATATTTATAAAAACGAATATTGTCTTGGCGAAGCTGAGACATCAAAGTAGAGAATTCGCCATGTTCTTTCCGATTGAAATAAATTTCATGGATCCAGTTCCTTCTTTTCACGTTTTTTTTTTTTTTATTGTTTACTGCAAGGTAAATAAGCGCCAGCTCCTCATCAGACGAATCCATCGAATTTCTTGGCATTTATTTGAGGAGGTGCATCAAATAATTGGTGGTTTCCATCAATAACGTGGAAGAGCTGATAGAAGAGAGTTTTGAAGGTAATTGCTACTTATTCAATTTACATGATCAAAATTGTAGGCATATTAAAATCATTTTTATTATTTAAAATGAATCTACATACATAAATTCAAAATACTCATTTTCAGATTCGATGTCATCATCCCCGACAAATATCTCGCCGCTTCCACGCCGTCGCCATCACCGTAGTGTTCATCACCACTGTCATCAGGAGCAAGAGGGGCAACACTTCCCCCATCAATATCTAGCGCAGCAATATCTGCCAGATCTGGAAAACAAAAACAAATGGATCGATTAGTGACGACTTGTGAGGGTATTCAAAGAAACTTTTCGGAGGCTATGGAAAAATTTACAAAATCGAACGATGAATTGGTCGAACTAGAAAAGGCAAAGCTAGTCGCAATGCAAGAACTGCAGAGGGACGCAAAAAGGCTAACGTACGGAGTACTAGATTTTTTAAATATATTTTAAGGAAATAGTATGTAGTAATTAGACTGAATTATTTTGTTTATATTTTTAAAGTAGATTTTAAGGAAATAGTACATAAGGTTTTAAGAATTGCACTGAATTATTTTGTTTACATTTTTGAAGTAGATTTTAAGTATATAGATTTTGAGGAAATAGTATGTAAGGTTTTGAGAATTGGACTGAATTATTTTGTTTACATTTTTGAAATAAATTTTAAGTATATAGAAAGTAAGATTTTGTGAACTGAAATTCTTGGATTTGCAATTGTGATGCCATTTTTCTAGAATACTTTTTTCCGTTTTAAAAACTGAAAGTTTTTTTTACTTCGCGTCAAGATAAAATGACATGCACTGAAATAAACCTGATATTAACTTACTGAAATATAAACAGAACGCATTTATTATTGATTCAGCTTCTGCTAAGGTTTGGTGCGAGTCCACGGATTGTGGTTGTCTTCTCCTAATGTCATAAACGTGCTGCTCGTTAAGCCATCGGGTAATTTTCTGCTATTAAAGAGTTGTGCAAAGCACAACAAGCCTTTATAATAGAAGTTGCATTATTAATTCCTTTACCGATCCGGCGAAACCTTAATTTGTATACATATATGTAAAAATAATAAGTGTATTTAACGACCACTTCTATATTCACTTAATTACCTTGCTTTCAATTGCCCAAAAGCATTTTCAACCCCTCTCCGAGATATTGAAAGCTGGTAATTGCAAGCTTTTTGTGTAGGCGTTTTATCCAAACTGAATGGAAAAGGCTTCATTAAATAAAGGCAGCGAAAGGCAGCATCGTCAAGAATGCCGTCAAAATTTCCTAAATTTGTGCTCATTGTGTTCAGAAATGAGCAGTTCTCCAGCTCCCTTTTTAAGCAGGGCATGAATCACGTATGACGACAATCGTCTGAACGATATCGTGTCGCGATTGTGTTGCTTCATGAAAACCAAAAATTGTTTGATCGTTTGTGCGATATCGTCAACTCGATTCCAGTTTAGCTTCACGTAACAGTAATAGGTAGTAGGATGGTTCCGTGTGGAAAACTTTTGACTGCCATTCACCTGGGAATGGCCAGAAGTGATTCTTGTGCGTAAGGTTCAAATCGCAGCTCACAACGTCCGGATATTTTTATCCACGTATCCTCGGGGTAGCAACCAAACACCCCTTTGAGAGCGAGCTAAAGTGAGAAGGCGTAAAACTTCACGTGCGCTGGGTTTGGGTCCCTCCACGTTAAAACCCCACCTAATGAACAAGTACAAACAGCCTCGGAAGAGACCCCCTTCTTCTGATGACGACCACGGCAAACGTATAAAGGACTATGATTTAAGGGTATGCACCTGGAATATCCGGACCCTTAATGGGGAAGGTGCCTCTGCCCGGCTGGTTGATGTCCTCGGGAAGAAAAAGGCTGACATCACCGCCATCCAAGGAATGCGATGGACGGGGCAAGGAAAAGTAAGCGTGAAGCCTTGCGACGTCTACTACAGTTGCCACGTAAAGGAGCGCAAATTCGGTGTTGGATTCGTGGTAGGACAGAGACTCCGTCGCCAAGTACTGGCGTTCACCCCGGTGAACGAACGTCTAGCCACAATCCGCATCAAAGCTATATTCTTCAACATCTCGCTCATCTGCGCCCATGCCCTGACGGAAGAGAAGGATGAGGCGTCCAAGGATCTCTTCAATAGCTAAGCGTACACTATAGAGAAATCTCTCGAGAGTTTTACTGAAATAAAAATCTCCTCTCTCAATTAAGTTTACACGGAGGAGTAAATCTAGGAGATATTGACTCTAGCTAGAGAAAAAATAGAGAAATCTCAACTTTTATCTATCACGTACCCTACAAGCTGTGTTCACGGTAGACAATATTTACCTCTCGCCTAGAGTTAGTTTTCTATCTCGAATTGTTGTCAACGCTTGTTGTATGTATATATGTATTTATGCCAAAGCCACGATGTAGAAAATTTAGTTGGCGCCATCAGCGGAGCAAAAATGTCCCTAAAAGTAGACAAATGTACCTAAAAATTAAACATGGTAACCTCTCTCTTCGGTACTATGTGTACTTTTGGACTCACATCAAACAGTTTCTCCGAGCAGTTCCAGCCAAACTACTATATACGTATATGTATGTAGGTATTCACCAAGTTGAGCAAATGGCCTGGCACTCTGACAAAACAGCAGATAACTGAAGCAACGACTGTTGCCAGAGTGCCAGACCACCTGTTCAGACGTTTTAACCAATAATTATGCCCCTTTGCAAAGGACGGAGGCTATTGGAAAAGCCATTGAAATACCAATGAAAATAAGAGGACGATGCTCAGTACATTATTTGGCTACGTTCTAAATGTACTTAAAATGGTGTCCTTGTATCGAATATACGATTTAATGTCGTAGCCATTTCAAAATTTAACAATCTGTAATGACGAGAGGACGAGCGTCTAGCCACAATCCGCATCAAAGCGAGATTCTTCAACATCTCGCTCATCTGCGCCCATGCCCCGACGGAAGAGAAGGATGAGGCATCCAAGGATCTCTTCTATGAGCGCTTGGAGTGCACGTACGAGCGCTGCCCCCGTCATGATATCAAAATCGTACTTGGCGAATTAAATGCCAAGGTGAGCAAAGAAGGGATCTTTGGAACCACTGTCGGAAAATTCAGCCTCCACGACGAAACGTCCGACAACGGATTGAGGCTGATCGACTTCGCCGGGGCCCGAAACATGGTAGTATGCAGTACTAGGTTCAAGCATAAAAA